TAGGCAGCACTCTTGTGTTCAAACCCGAATGTTTTGCTTGCACTTTCAGATGGTCGACCGAGATCTCGGGGAGCAGTTCTCACATGCTGTGCAGCAGAGCAATGGTAGGTCTTATCTCTTCCTTGAGGTTTTCTCATACCTGTCTTCTTCCTCTTGGGTTGCAGTCATAAGTTCACCAGAAGAGTTCCAAGATAACAGACTGAAAGAGATGCTGCAATATTTTGTAGTGTTTTCATTTTAGGCACAGTATTATGCGTGGATAGTAACTCCACCAAAAAGTGCCTTAACTACCTGAAACTCGATGAAAGAATCCAATAAATTCACTTCAGGTGAATTCCATTCAGTCCATTCTATTTATAGGGAGCAAAAAAACAACATGGCACAGTTTCAGTGACGCCCAATAGTCTCTGCTCAACACTAACGCATAGCAATAACTTGCACAAAAATGCAAATTATTTACTGTGTTATGAAACAACTGTGGGCATGGATTACACGAAAGGGGTGTTACTGATTTTAATGGAGACAGTGAGGATCAACCAACTGCTTCTGGAACTGTTCATGTAATAAAAAAAAGTGTGCTCACTGAGAAAGAAGCATGTGTATTGCAGCAGCGTGAGCACTGTGTAGATTTGAATCTTTAACTGACACAGTTTCACCACGCATCACAGCAAAAGGTGCTTGGGAATAAAATTGTTGAATCCTGATCAGAGTATTTCACAATTATGTTATTTATTCAGTGTTAATTCAATGTTGTTTATGTCCTTTACACTCACATGGAACTTTTAAGTAAAAATTTAAAATACTGTGTCATATTTTTACATTTGTTATGCAGGTATATATCTTAAACACACTTTTGTTAGCTGTGGATTCATGTATTTCTGTTTTCTTTCTTGTAAAGTTTCTACTGCAGCTGCCACTCATCCCAACTCAAAGGACTCTCCTACTTTCACTAATGGAATGGTCCCGGGTGAGCATAATTTTTGTCTAAAATTAAGTTTTTCTACACCATGTAGGGCCTGTTGCAGAGAGAGAGAAAAAAGTGAAATGGACCACCTTCAGTCAACAACTAACGAAAATGGCTGTTTCTCCCAGAGAGTCGAGACTGAAAATAAACCGACTCAAGTTACACAACCAACAGTCAGCCAAGCTTGAAAACACCTTAGAAACACTTTACAGTTATTTTAGGAGTGTGACTGCAAAATACTGTCTGACTTTGGTCAAATTGTTTAGGGGTATATTTATTGAATGAGCGATAAACACAAATATGATGCTTTGCTGTTGTGCTGTGTGTGTTTGTATATGAGGTTTTTGATATCCTGTATGGTTTTGTTGAGACACTGAGGCAGATTTGTCTCTTATCTTCGGACCCTTGTGCTAAATAAGCTTTGCACCCCTGTGACTTTAGATCGCTCTTGTTGTCATGTTGCTGTTTGCTCATGGAGCTCCTGTCAGTATGACCGGACGTGTTTCGCTGTTGAAGTTTGCGTATGCTTGACCAGAGAACTCAAACTTAAAAGTTGTTTTAAAGTTCAAAACTTTAGAGGGCTAAAAAAAAAAAGAGCAAATAGCACATCTTAAGTAAACTGTGCTTCTGTAAGCAAAGTGTGTGATACACTTTTTATCTGTTGTTTGAGATAAGTGTAAGTGAAGAGGATCAAACACCCAGAACTTGAAAGTCGAATGAAATCCCATCATTATTATTAGGTGCAGTCATACATTTTAGGGACAGTGGTCATAAAAATTTTTTTTTTTTTAAAAAACCTACCTGATGTAAATTTGATGTCTCTCTCCTTCAGTCATTTCCTTGTGTATCTGGAGGGTTTTTTTTGTTTGTTTGTTTTTTTTAACATCGCTGCCTGTAAGGCCCATTGTGCACAGAGCAAACATCAACTTATGTGGCAAAGGATCAACCCTGGTAATGAGAGCTGATTCTGTAGCTACAGCCCGGAGACAAATAGCAGTTTTAAGAAGATGACTTCAGGTTTCTTAGCGTATCAGGATAAATGCATGACCTGAAGCATCCTCTTGTTGTGTTATCCATTAACACAACAACCCCAAATCCAAAAAGCTGAGATGCGATGTAAAAACAAAATGGAATTTTGACTTTGGTGGTAGCAACACATCTCAAAAAAGTTGAGATGTGGTTTGTTTTTGTTTGTTTTTTT